GGAAAAGTGTGTTCTCATGTTTAGTGATTAACAAACAGTCCCATTGAGTGTTTTTGTCTTATAAAAGCTTCCAGGCAGATTTTCAATAAGATGGTGTACAGAGAAATGGGATAAAACCTGAAAATGGTGGGCTTGGAAACACATATATGCAAGCTGTGTAAGACATTCATAATAAGCATTCATAATTTGCATGAGTTTTCAGGTATAAAGTCCAAAGCAAATGAGATCCCATATGGCCAGATGACCCTTTTGGACCGGCCACTCCACAGCGACTTTAAATGGGCCGTGAGTCGTGAGGCTGTCTGACTCTAAATCAGGCATTTGGCAGGGAGAAGGAGGACTAGAGAGATGGAAGAGGAACAAAGGGGGTCAGAGAGATGGGGGAGGAGGAGAAAGAGGGACAGGGGGGAGTGGGAGGAGAGGAGAAAGGTGAATGAGAAGAAGAGACTGAAGAAGAACAAGAAAGAGGAATGTTAAAATGAGGAGAAAGACACAGAGTCTGATTTAGGAGGGAGGATAAGAGGAAGATAAAATAGACAGGACCTTGGGGAGAATGAGGTGGGAGATGCTGGCAACAGGAGCAAAAGCAAAAGGGAAATGAAAACGGGACAGAGGGATTGCAGGAGGTGGAGAAACAAAAAGACAGAATTGGCAGGTAGGGAGAAAAGAGGGCCAGTGACGTGCCATGATGAAGAGAAGGAGGGATAGGGAGATGCTGGGAAGGAGATGAAAAGTGATAGGGTGTTAGTGGGGGGCTAACGGGCGGGATGAAAATATGCAGGCAGAAAACGAGGGATTGGAAGAAGAGGGGGGATACAGCAAGGAAAGAGATGAGACAGAGAGGCAAAGACGACTTAACTGGATTCCTTGCAGCTTTCATAACAAATATGGGCAGTATGTGTAAATGAACTCAGATCTCAGAACTCAGACCAGATCTCCCGGTTTAACTCCCAGCTCAAAACCTCTAGATCACACAAAGTCGTGGATCAAGAGAGAGAGACCCTCACCTCTCTATTTATCTCAAACTCAGACCAAACTCAAATAATCAAATATAAACCAGCACTCAGTTACTGTACTGCCTATTTCTTGCCTAAAATGTCATCAGAAATACATTTTAGTGCACTGTTTGGCTGTAATGCGAGAATTTGTGAAGGAAAGTGGGTACAATAATGTTTCCTGTATTGGAAAACCTAGGGATGTCCCAGTCAACTTTTTTGACCCCAATTCCGATCTGAGTCATTTAATATTAAGTATCGGGCGACACCAAGTCCTGATCCCAGGCTTTTATTTTCCTTGATAATACAGCTGCTCAGTTCACACTTCAAGTACTTCAAAGTTATTGAAATCAAGCCAACGTAGGCTACAGCCTCTTGACAGATGAATCAGAATCAGAATCAGAATCAGAAATACTTTATTGATCCCGGAGGGGAAATTATTTATGTTACAGGTGCTCCTTGCAAGAGAGGAAAGATACATGAAAATATAAGAAATTTAAACAATAGTATTAACAAATATATAGTTAAATAAACAGGAATTATTAACAAACATAAACGTAAATATATATACATATATACATATATATATTGTAAACTGAACAAGATTATTTACACAAACAGAATATAAACAGTCAGGGTGAAATGGGGTTATTGCACAAGTTAAATTAAATTATTGCAGTGTGTGAAAAAGTCTCAGGGCCACTCAGAGGGAGAAGTTGTACAGTTTGACGGCCACAGGCAGGAATGATTTCCTGTGGCGCTCAGTGGTATCTTGGTGGTATGAGTCTCCCACTGAAAGTACTCTTGTGCCTGACCAGCACATGGTGGAGTGGGTGTGAGACATTGTCCAAGATAGTTCGTAGCTTAGACAGCATCCTCCTCTCTGACACCACCATCAGAGAGTCACACTCCGTTCCTACGTCACTGGCCTTGCAGATCAGTTTGTTGAGTCTGTTGGCGTCCGCCACCCTCAGCCTGCTGCCCCAGCACACAACAGCATAGAGGATAGCAATGGCCACCACAGACTCTGCTATGCAGTAAGAAAAAAATTCCTGTATCCAAGCTGTTCCTTAATGTTTTATTTAGTTATTTATACAAAATAAAGTATAAAATAACAGACTTTCTCTACTCTATGCCTTTAAGAGAGTATTTTCCGGTGTCTGTTGCTTTGATGCAGCCTCAGTGAGTTACCTGAATGAACTGTATTTCATTGAATGTTTATTTTAGTCATCTGTAGGCTAAATATTTTGTGCCAATTAGGGGACATTAATGAATTAATATTATTCGCTTTTTACTCGTGTGTCTTTTTTGTTTTTGTACTTGCACTGGCATTGTGAGTGTAGTTGCCATCGGTTCTGCACCACTTTCTGTCTTTTCTCTGTCCACTGTCAAACATCACGCACTGTAGATGACAGTAAAATGCAAGAGACTCTCGGCTGAAAAGCTGAAAAGAAACAAGTGCTCATGACTTTGGAAAAAAAAAAGCATAAACAAACAGTGTCACACTGCATTTTGCTGTCTTTTAAGGCATGTGGTGTTTCACCACAGACAGGACTCAGCCTCTGCTTTTACACACGGGAGGTCGTAGAGACAGACAGTGAAGAGTTGGAGACAGCAGCACTCCACATTGCTGTGCATGAAAGCTTCGCAACTAAACACCTGTGGGACAACTGACGTGAAACAAAGCATCAGATCAAGCTTTCAATAGCTCGTTTGGGAAAGGATCAGGACATATTTTGTTATTTTGTTGCTGAAAAAAATGAGATTAAACTGTAAAACTACACAGAGCTGATCAAATATGAACCAAGATTATGTTACTGTGTCACCTATTTCTCACCTAAAATGTTTTCAGAAACATTTTAGCTTTAAATGTTTTCAGAGACATTTTCGCCTCCTGTTTTACTGTAATTCAAGTTTGTTCGCTACCAGCTGGCCACCATATTGCTTACTATGTCAAAACGGTCAAGCTTGCATTACGTCACCCACTAGGCGAAGTGTTTATTGGTCTGGTGCGGCACAGTGAATTCTGGTAGTTGTAGGTTCTCTACCTCTTGAGCAAAAGTAAATGCCACAGACATTTCCCTTGGTTTTCTCTGGTCATGTAGCACCACTTTCAAAAGTTTTTGGGTCCTTCTGCGTAGACAGCCGTTTCATGAAAATACGATCTTTCTAGCAGTGAAATACTTCTTTAAGGAGTCAAAAGGGGGACGATAGGAGAATGAGGGAATGAAGAATCTGTAATGGAGGAGAGGTGTGTCATATAGTGTCATCATACGAGTTCTTCTTCCGTAGCATTTACTTGAATGTCACCGAGTCTTTAGGAATGGCTGAAGTCTGTCTGCTGACTGTATAATGGTGGCCTGTTTACTAATGATAACTTACTGCTTCCCTGATTTTATTACAACAGGAGAAAGAGAGAGGGGGTGAGGGTGAGTTAAGATGGGAAAGATAGGTCAAAAGCATCACGAGCCTCGAGGACGGCGAATGAACAGCGTAGTGAAGAGATGGAGGATGGAAAGAGAGCTGCTGTTTGGGCAGTAATAAAAGGTCAGAGACTCAGGGGGCCCGCTGCTGTCTGACAGCAGGACACACAGCAACCCATCACACAGAGGGCCTTTTCCAGTGTCACTTTTGGAGAGGTGGGGGTAAAGCAGGCAGACAGAGAGACAGACAGAAAGGGGAAATTATTGGTGTGTGTGACACAGCTGATAGAAACAGTTGATTTGCCACAGTAAAACTACAACATAGCTAATTATCCGAACAAAGGATGCAAATGGATACTTCGCCTAATAATTACGCTTAAGTGTATGCTATTTCGAGGAAGGCCTTTGTAACGGGCCACGCTCCTCACAGCAATATGGTGTTGTGCCTTGTGGGATACATCACAGTGGCCTACTGTAATTGTTTGCTAGAGCATAGGACTAAAAGCTGTGTGAAAGCCTTCTCTGCAATGCCAGATAATATAGATATGACTGGTGGTAAAATATGAGATACTAATAGACCTAATGTGTGTGTTTTTTAAACAAATTTAAGAATACTGTGATGTAAATCAGCTTTTACACGTCCTTGGTTAACCTCAATGGTAAACAACTACAGGTATCTACTGTAAAATTGCTCATTTGTGTTTAGCTGAAGGAACATTATTATTGAACTTTAATACCTGAGTGGTTATTTTGGGACTTAATAAGATTGGTATCTTGAGTGTAATACTGTTTAAGTAAAGTTGCGAGTATTACTTGAAAAAAATAGGGATAAGTTAGCCTTATAAATTCATTCAGGGTACATTTTCTATGTTGTAGAGATAGCACAGAGACTTGTGTACATATTTTGCTGTAAATTTTCTTATTATACTTATTGGGCCACAGGGGGGGAAATATGTGTCTGTTTATTACTGTTATCTAATTCTAGGTACAAAATTTGCATTTAATTGTCCTGAAAAACTGCAACAGCGCATTTTCACTTCTCAGCATTAGCAAAATCATTTGACTGACAAAGTATCTCAAGACAAAGTCCACTTACTTTGTGTTTCTAGAGCTTCCCACAACATTTCGTGGCCTTCCTCGGGAAGTGGAGATGCTCCGTTGTCAAGTAATTGGGTTAAAGAAAAAGCAACCATGACCTTTCTATCTGGAAAGGTTGGTTTGGATTCAAAGCGGCCCTGTGACACCGGTGAACATGTCGTAGAAGTTAGTTTCCGGCGCAGGTGGATGCATCCTTTGCTTCAGTTAACACTGGACCGTGTTTGCTACGCAGTTGTATGAATTTTCCGCGATGACTTTCCTACTAGAAAATAATATCTTGGTCAAGGTTAATATAAAAACCCGTGGTTTATGGTGGAAATTGATAAATTCCTGCCAGAAAGGGGTTTTCTTGAGGAAAACCTACAAGAAAAACTTCTCGCATAAGCTGTTTGCTACGCTGCCGCCATCTTGTGGATTGTTTCTGAACCGCTTCAGCGCTTTCGTTCAGTTTGAACCACGTCCGTTACCGTAGGTAGGAGGAAGCGTCGCCGTAGCAACGGATAGGGAATGGATCATTGAGTAGCAGCAAAATTCCTCTAAACTGGATTGAATTACTCATAAAGCAAATACGCCTTTAATTTTTCAGGTTACGAACTGAAAACCTGATGGCGGCAGTCAACCCGTCGGTGTTTCTTCTCACGGTGAACGGACAAATTGAGGGAGCAAACGTGAGTGGTGCTTCGGGGGGTTAGCTTAGCCTAGCAGCTAATTTCAACCAGCATTAGCAACGGTTAACCGTGGCGTCAGTTTGTCTCAATTCTGAGTTTGTGTGTCATTATTCCAAAGTATAATTGTGCTGTTATGGTGTATTTCAGTTTCCAGAGTATGACAACTTGTATTGCAAGTATTGTTTTGTCTACGGCCACGACTGGGCTCCCACCGCGGTGAGTGACCTTAAATGGCTACTTCATATTAGGAACCATTATGATCAGTGTTATAATAGTATTTTAATGTTCTTATTTACATTAGACACAACGTTAATCGTCTACTACTGGTTAGTAACTCAAGCATTGCATGTTTGCATGTTTCAGCTCCTCTGCAAAGCAACAAGCAGAATAGTCTCGAATAAAAGGAGTGCTTTTTACTACAGAATTGCACATTGGCATTGAATTAAAGAAACTATTGATCATTTCCAAAGGATTGAAAAACATTAAGGCTTATGTCATAATGTCCAGATGATTTATAACTTTTTTTCACATGCATACCATCTACAAAATAAAGTATAGAACAGTTAAAGTCATGTCTGGTTATGATCTTACTAGCAAGTCTTTGTGTCTGTTGATGGTTTCTCTCTAGGGTTTGGAGGAAGGCATCACTCAGATAACATGTAAAGGCAGTCAGTCCTCACACAAATTAATATGGAACTTCCCACTGGAGACAACGTTTAAGAGCACAAATCCCTCTGGATGTGAGTGATACACACACAAACATATCACACAAAGTGGTTTGGTAGCTGTTGTCTTCATCGATTTATTGATATAATAAAGAAACTACACTGAAAGCCTGAATATATAACTAGCACAAACTGAAGACTTTATTCTAATTTCCCAGGGCCTCAGCTTGTGGTGAGTGTGTACGGTCCAGATGTGTTTGGCAATGATGTGGTCAGGGGCTATGGAGCAACACACATCCCCTTCACACCTGGACAGTAAGTATTACCTCCATATACTTCCTCTTCGTTTTTAGAAATGTCTTTAAGTTTAAACATACTGTAGTGACATTGGGTTTGATTTTGACTGATGTGTTTTTAAATGTTACTGTCTGTTTGAGTAGCATCTGTGATTTATTTGTATTCCTCAGACATACACGAACCATCCCCATGTTTGTTCCCGAGCCCACGTGGAGACTTCAGAAATTCACGAGGTGCGATGAACAGTTGTGCGTGTTCAGTTCTCTGTCTCAGCAGCTGTGGTGCTGCGGCTGATGAGTTGTGCCTGCTGGGGGAAGCAGCCGATATCTGAGCGATAGCAAATGTTTACTGCTCCTCTGTGTGTGCATGTGAGTCTTACTGGGGACTCTGTGGTGAGAACGCTGCACATCAGTATGCACTGTTTGCCAGCTGCTGTTATCAGTGTACGGAAAGACACTCACAAAGGTTTTCACAGTTCCTTTCAACTCCCACAAACACAGGGGGCTATTAGAGATGCAGAGGTGCTCAACTGGATCTTTCGGATCTGCAGTGTAGATAGCAACATTGGGAGCATGTTTTGTTCTTCCACTTGATTTGGGAAAGTTACAAGCTGATGTACGTAGGTGGGGATTTCTTGCTCATGCCTTCTTCTGAGTTGTACTTTACATTACATCTACATATTTCAATTGATCAAGGCACTGATGTTAGAAACTGCAGTATCAAGCTAACACTATATTAATGCATCACTTCCTGTTTGCCAGAGATTACCTCACATGGGTGCGATTTAGAGTAGCAAGCCCATAATATTCCATGATTGGTTTAATCCGTTTTTAACACCAGGGCAAGATTTATCTTTATGAAAAAGAAAGTCCGAAAATTGCTTTGAAAAACTCATCAGAAAAATAATGTTAATAATATATTGGTCTAATCATTGTGTGTATACAGTATATATATGGTATATTGGTAGTTGTTTTTAACATGTTTTTCCCTCTCTTGTTTAGCTGGCTGTTGGGACGGCGGCCAGAGTACACAGACCCTAAAGTAGTGGCCCAGGGTGAAGGCAGAGAAGGTTTGTTTTGTACATGTATCTGTGCTGGTATTGCTATATTTTATTTTAGGGTATTGTAATCCTAGGTATTCTTCTTCTTTCTTCTTCCAAGGAAATCATACTTCCCATGGGTGAAAACTCACCAAACTTTGCACAAAGGTCCAGTCTCATGCCAGATATCCTCAACTGTAAACTCAAGCCAATAATCCTGATGGTGGCGCTACAGCAAGCGTCTAAAGTTCAAAACTTTGAAAACTCATAACAAATCAACCGTATGTGCTACAGCTTCACAACTTTCATCAAACTGTAGCCCCAATACTGAAGAAACAGTGCATTTAAACCTATTAAAAATTATGAAGTTCATCACTTTGTTTTGTTTTTTTTTTCAAAAACTGTAAAACTTCTTAAACCTATCTCCTCCCACAATTTTTGCTCAATTGACACCAAACTTGCTACAGAGCATCTTCAGACTGTCCTACAAAAACTATTTTTCTCAGATTTTTGATTTATCAAAAATTGAGCCTACAGTGCATCAAAATGTTTGACTGTAAACAGTACTGTAAACATATACATGCAAATTCTTGCTAAATAAATCTTCAATGTTCATGAAAAAGAATGACAAAATTCTAGAGTCATGTCTAGATGCAAGATGTGTATTTTCAGATTTTTGTTTCGATAACTGAATTTTTTACAGTGGTTTGAAATCTGCTTTTCCATGCATGGACAGCTGCTACACCTGCACGTCTGGCTTAGTCAATTTGTGAAGCTACACATGAATTGTCACTGACTAATTAGCTTAGTGAGATAGAAATTGATTCTTAGTCCCAGAGGTTGAGAATTCAAGCCTCAGCTGATGCAAAAGGCAGCTTGTGTTGCTAAATTCCTAAATGTCTTCCAATTCTTCTGCTTGTTGCTCAGAATTGCCTAAAAATGCCTGGACCCGACCCACTGCTGTGCAGCAGCTGTCATTTTTTATTTATTTTTTAAAATATTGTTAACAGTGACATGTTAGTTGCGTAGTTGCTTTCACCTTCTCACAGAAACATTTGATGTAGCAAAACAAGGGAAAAACAAAAAAACAGACAACTCATTGAACCAGACATTCATCATTAGGTAGGTTGATTTTAAGCAGATCTCAACCAGTTTAACAGAATGAAGAATGGTGGTCTCAAAGCAAAGACACCCTGCTCTCTCTCTACTAAAGAGATGTAGATGAGTATAATCCAAGTTTTAGACACTGATCATGTATATTGTCACTAGAGGTAGAAATTGTTTGAACAATTCACTAAAATAAACTCCTGAATAATTCAATCCCCATTTAGTTCTGATTTGAACATTTTCAATGTAATTTTTGACATCTCTTTAAATTCTTACTTTATACATTAACATGTCATGTTTTATTTGTGTTGCAGTGACGCGGGTTCGTTCCCAAGGCTTCGTCACTGTTTCCTTTCACATTATGACTAAAGACATGAAGAAACTAGGCTACGACACAGGACCATCAGGCCCGGCAAACACACCGTCTTCCACATCTGGCTGGTCGACGGAGGAACAACCATAAAACATGTAACAAAATAAGCCAAAATGAAAGCACAATACTAATGTTACATATAAAAGGACTTGTTTACTTCCAGTTAGTGTGAAATTCCCAAAACTGTTATGCCACTATCACTTTAAGTGGCATGAATGCAGGGGGTCACTCTGATCTGTCAGAACACAAACACTCGTGTATCTCGTGTTTTTTTTAGTAAAAATCTTATATTGTCTTGAATTTTTCAGTTTTACTATATTTTTTACTTTTGTAAATAAACAGACTTTACCTCTGAATTGTTCGCCTTTTAATGTTCTGAGCATATGTAGACAAAAACATACATCACTGTGGTTGTTCGGATGCAAATTGAAATACACTCTACCCAAAGTCTCATGAGAAAATATCCTGTTTGAACATTGGTTGGTTAAAAGAAAAACAAGGACACACACTTGAGTTACAGAGCTGAAGTGATACACATTTTATTTTGAACCAATGCAGCTACAGTTGTCCTCATCCAACAGGGTGCGGCCTGCTGCGTTCGTTTAGATGCCGTTAAAATACCACGGTGACTTTTCCTACAAAAACCCATTACACAGAATAATAAGGTATACAGAGGAACAGTATGTTACAATAGTACAAATGATAAATTATATTATACAGTTATAATGCCAACAGGTTGAGCACGTATCCAATAAAAAAAAAAAAAAAAAAAGCAGCCTGCTCCCAGTACTATGAGAAGGGTAAATAGACAGACATGGAAAAGATTAAAGGAGGCTGTTTATGCATATAAAGACAGACAGTCCATAAGGTCAGTTAGTCCTCTTGATAAAAGCATAGTGAATACATAGTAACACGCAGAGGAGCTCGCTACACACAGGCCACATTTTCACTGCACCATAGCCACGACTGTGAAACTGCTGCCAAGGATCAAGAAAAAGTGTTCAACTGCAGTGACATCTGACTGTTCAGGAGTGCTGAATTTGTTCAAGACAGTAAAGTTCCTTTTTTTCTGTTTTTCAATGCATCCATAACAACCTTTTCAACAATCGCTGGAGTCAAGTTAAAGGTCAGGCCGCAGTGAAATGAAGGCCGGCAAGAAAGTGACACGTCTTAGCTAGAATATCATAGTAGCATTTTTATAAACAAAACTTTATTAGCAAATCTAACTTTGCAAAACACATCAAGCGTTAAATCTTTTTTTTTTTTTTTACTTTTCCATACTCCAATTTTTGCATATATTTAGTGGAGATTAAAAATGTTTGCTGGTCTGCAAGGAAGTGTCACATCCATTCATCCAAGACCCCAAGCATAAAAGTCATCATCCCCACCCTCAGCATCATCAAAATCATACACACAGTTGGAGCTGCCCCTCCTTTTGCCTGAGAAAAATGAAAGGTCTGCGTTTAGTGGAGATACCAAGGGGTCTGTGGTGTTGCTATGATACCACAGCAGACCAGGAGAGGGCGCCAACGCACACTAAAAGAAAAAAAAAAAAACAAACACCTTTTCCACAGTAATAACATTGGCAGTGATATCAACAGAACTGGAGACGGGAGTACAGTGACCTAAAGAAGAAGACGGGTCTAAACACCGGGCGCAGTTCATCAGCTGCGTTTCATTAACCCACTTTTCTCAACCGATAGAAGAGACGGAGCCGCTCAGCTTGCTGTCAGTAAATGTGCCGATATTCAGCCAACAGTAACACTTTCTTAAACAAACTCCTGAACAGACAGTAAAATAGCTCTGAAATATAAAAAAATGATAACAACGGATCCATAAAACAAAACAAAAAACTGTCAGTGAAGTGTGACCCTACTGTTCAAACTACTCAAAGTACGACATCCTCAGAAATCACAGTCGCTATGACTTTGGTAACAGTTGTGCTTCTAAGAGAAGAGAATTACATAGCCTACCCATAGGGTGAAAAAAAACCAAACTACAATGACAGAAAATAGACAAAAAGAGAGTGAAGATGATACATGGCTTAGCTAGTACACAGCTCCAAAACTCTGAAAGGCTTGGCTATGGATTTACATCTAACAAGTAAATAAAAACGGAAAAAAAAAAAATGTAACCAACAAAATTAACAACTGTTTGTTTACATGACATGTCTCACTGTTGTTTGCTGCGGGATTCGCTGTGCTATCAATAGACCGATCCTGGAACAACCCTGTGTGTGTGTGTGTGTGTGTGTGTGTCCACCTGCTAATGTTCTTGTGGGATAGATTAGCCGCAGTAAATCCACCCAGAGGTAAACTCTCTTCACGATGCTGAGTGGCTGACGTGCTCTTTAAACCCAGAGCTTTCTTTGCAGCCCTGTCACCATAGTAACACTTCTTGATATATAGTTGCAAACAGCACATGCATGCATGCACGCACACACACACACACACACACACACACACACACACACACACACACACACACACACACACACACTTAAGGCTGCAGTCTACGTTATACCCCTGCTCTGACTTGTATTTCAGAAACTTAAGCCATTTCTGAGCCAGTTTCCACTTTACTGTGTATTATTGTTCACTTGGAAGCTAAACGTATCGCTCATGCAAACTGCACGCACGCACACACACACACACACACACACACACCCTCTTCCCTTTGACCCTAAAAACAAACTAAAAAATAAACAAAACTGTCCCATGATGCCTCACTGCATCCATATGTTCAGATAGCAAAATACTGATGCCATCACAGTTCATGTCTTTTCTCAAAACACGCACGGGGGGGGGGGGGGCCTTAATGACAAAAACATCAACATGTGGCTGTTAGTATACGAGCATTAACAGTACACCTGCGTGAGCACACACATACAGACGAAAATTACGTTCCAACCCCTAAAACAAGGGGTTCACCCCCTTTGATAAGTGTTCATTGTTAATCCCGCGACCCCTGGAGGTCAAAGTTCACGTGGAGGGTCGGGAATTAAAAAAAAAAAAAAAAAAAAAGGTCCAAGTTGACGGGAAGTGACCAGACGAGAGTTGTTGACTGAGTGGTACCGAGAGCCGAGGCAGTGTGTGTGTGTGTGTTGTCGGAGCCGTTTTGAGTGGCGAGCCTCCCTCCCTTAGCTAAGGTGTAACGGTGAGCCCAACAGTCGCAGAAAGAAAAAATAAAAAGACAAAAAATTGTGCAAAATCCCTGCTTAGTAACACACGCAAGAGTAAAAACACATCTGACCATCTCTCATCCGTACTCCAGTGTGTGTAAGTAAAACCCACTGGAATATACACAGTGTAAAAGTACTGAGATGTGCGCTCACTCACTCACACACGCGCACACACACTCACTCGCACGCCGGCTGACAGGGCTTATAAAAGATTAGCTCTAGTGAAGAGATAAGATCCTGGCGTTAGTATGGTCAGACTCTCCTGTCACTCCACCACAGAAGAAGAAAAGAGCAGTCCTAAGGGAGGAAGTAAGGGAGAGGAGGCGAGTGAAGGAGAGGAGGACAGAGGGGAGAGCCTGTCCTGCCTCTGTGGAAAAACTGTAAACACCACTGCTACTCTGTAAGTCTGTAGACAGATGCAAACGTGTTGTGGTCATCAACATCATCGTCAGATCAGTATGGAACACACAGGACTAGGCAGCTTGTAGCACTGAGACAAAGACACGGAGGAAGAAGGAGTACAGGAGTGTGTTAAGGTGGGGGGGGTGGAGGCCAGGCTGGGACTACGACCTGGCCGAGTTGGTTATAAAGGGATACATGGGATCTCCTTGTTCATTTTGAAGCTTCTAAAGGAGCCAAAGTGAACGAGGGAGACAGAGGGAGAGGAGAGGGTACTCAGGGGCAAGTCGTCCCCCAGTCGCCCCCTCACAAAAGGAAGGGGTTGGTGGTTCCGGTGGGCTGCGTCCCGGCCTGGGGTGGCATGCTCATCAGGGGCTGGGGCATGGACATCCCCACGCCTCCGATAGTGCCGACTCCCATTCCGGGCATCGTGCGGGCCATGGGGGTCATGCCTGCCAGGGGGACCATGGTGATGGGCTGAGCGGGCAGGGAGGAGAGGGCCATGGGCTCAGCCATGCCGAAGCCGGGGGGCATGGGGCTGACCCGCATCTGGTTGAGGGTCGGAGGGGCTGGCTGGCTCACTTGGAAGGGGTTTGCTGGAGCTGGAGCAGCGGCACCTGAACAAAGGAAGGACGCAGATGTCACTGTGCTCACAGAGCGCCAGAAACGGGAACAAAGAGAACTACACTACACTACTATACTCTCATTCGGGGTTCCCACATATTTTTAAAATTGAATTTTCAAAACTTTTCCATAATATTTTACCCATATTTTTTTCCAAAAACATTCTATTATTTCTTAACCATTTCCTGGCCTGTAAATAAATCTGAAATCTAATATCATAACTTTTCCAGGAATTTCATGACCGTGGGAACACAGTCATTTTATGAATTGTATGATTCACCTTTCTTGCCTCAGAGTTTACCTCTCACACCGACAGTGCAGTGTCAGTGACTCAGCCTTAAACTGTGTAGATGGGTGTGTCTTCCTGTGCGTTCAGGCCTGCACGTGTACATCCATGTCTCTTGGCTTAGCGACTACACTTCTGGCTGCCACACTCTTGTTATCTAATCAGTTTGAATAAACCTGTGTGTTTACCTGCTTCAAAATAGCCCGTAAAATAGTCTGTACGTTTATATAAAAACTATTCTACTAAACAAACATACCTGAGTAGAAAGCGATTAAGTGTAAGAACAATGAAAGTTTTGAAATCAACTTCCTCATATTTCCTCATCGTCACTCACCACCTGTTGAAGCTAAGAACGGGTTGATGACTGGTGCAGGCTGGGCTGGTTTGGTCACCAGAGAGTCCAGATTGACCAGGGCAGCATTAGGACCCAGGAAGGACTCCGGGGTCTTTCTAGTTGGATTTGTGGTGACAGATGTGGAGGTGGGCAGGGGGTCGAAGAGGTCTAGGCTGCCGCTGCTTGCAAGACTGCCTTGGGAGGGGATAGAGGATGCTACGCCCCCGTCACCTGCGGAACGAAGAGCAGTTGGATTTCACTGATGAAACTGGACTTCTCTTTGAGGAAACAAAAAAATAAAACACTGAGAGGTCATGAATACAGAATATTTATTATCTGGCCTTGAACTGTGAGGAACAACTCTGTAAACCTGAGTTTGACATGGCCTGAGTACGTGAATGGTTTGCTCATATTTGTGATACTAAAAACAAAAGTCCACTCAAATTCTGCATTATAAAAAGGTCTAACAGATATTCAGCCCCCCACTACACCCACACACCATGCCCACTTGTACGTGAGCACCCACACTCACATTTACGGTGAAATCAAATTGAGTTGATGCAATAAAATGATTAGAAGATGCTTTTATGAGAGGACATCAGAGGCAGACAGCCTGGCTGTTTGTGTTGTTTGTTTTGTTTTTTGCAGTCAGACAGCAGTGGAGACATTCGTTATTGCACTCACACATGAATATGCACAGACCTAGCATGCCAGCAGCAACATACACAAGAGGAAACATCAAAGATGGAAACTTGTCTTGTCAGAACAGAAACTGAGACGCAGCACAGCCACAATAAAAGGCTCATGATGTGTATTAACGCCCCATAAATCCTGTCGGTTTCAGCCAGAGCTGATTCAAACAGTAACATTTCTACAACTCATACCAGGGGTGGGCGATTATTCTATTAAGCTCCATGTATCATGGCTTGTTCCACGTGGGATGTATAAAATGACTACATCACAATCATTGAATATAAATTCTCACATCATTTCTTTCTTTAAGCCACTGATACAAACAGGATACGTCACACACACTCCCCCGCTCATGCAGAACACGGGCATGGGCAGTAGTGTGTGAGGCGAGGTGTGTGTTTTGTATGCAGGGTTCCAGACCGCTGCCATTAGGTAGCATTTTGCGACCATGGAGCACCAGTGCGACTTGTAAATATTTATGTATGAACTGAAGAGCTGTTTTTTCCCCCACCCACAGTGGGTCAAGTTTTGCGGTGCTGCTGTGACGGTTTAACGTTCTGTTAACTGCTAACAGCTAACTGATGACAGAAGCTTCACGTTTAAAACAAAACATCAACACGTTTAAAACAAAACATCAACGGGTGCTTCAGAATAAAAGCACCAGTGGTTCTGCTTTGATTCATTTCATTATAGCAACAGTTCATTTAACTTTATTTATTTATTATTTCAATAGTACAACTTTTTTATCACAGTAGTTTAACTTTATTATAGCAGTACTTTTACCAAACTTTATTTCAACAGTATTTTATTTAACTTTATTATGACCATACTTTAACTATTATACCAATAATATATTCAACTTTATTATTATTAGAGCACTTTTTAAACTAAAATATAAGAGTGCCTTATTTAACTTTATTATGAGAGTGTTTCATTTAATTTTTTTGTAACAGTTCATTTTTAAATTTCATTTAAGCAGTACTTTTATATACCGTAATTATTACGATGTAACAGTACTTTATTTACCTTTATTTTTAAAGTATAACAGTACTTCATTTACCTTTGTTATTACAGTGTAACAGTACTTTATTTACCTTAATTATAAAAGTACTTTATTGAACTCTATCATTACAGTATAACAGTACTTTCTTTACCTTTATAATAAAAGTACTTCATTAAACTTTATTATTACAGTGTAACGGTACTTTATTTACCTTTATTGTAAAAGTACTTTATTTACTTTTATTATTGCAATATAACAATACTTTACCAACTAATACTAACTCATACTGCAGAGGTCTGCTTCCTAAACACCACTTAAGTCCCTGTCCTCTCCACGGTGTGGGGACTTGTCCCTTCTGAGAACAGTAACTTTACTTTATTTACCTTTATTTTTAAAGTATAATAGTGCTTTATTTACCTTTGCTATTACAGTATACAGTACTTTATTTACATTTATTATTACAGTGTAACAGTACTTTATTTACCTTAATTATAAAAGTACTCTATTAAAATGTATTATTACATTATAATAGTACTTTATTTACCTTTATTGTAAAAGTACTTTATTTACCTTTATAATTACTAACTACCAACTCATACTGCAGAGGTCTGCTTCCTAAACACCACTTAAGTCCCTGTCCTCTCCACGGTGTGGGGACTTGTCCCTTCTGAGAACAGTAACTTTGTATGACTGTGTTTCTGTTATTTCTTGACTTGTCCTTGACTGTATCAGAAGTGCTTGTGTCGAGCTCGAGCAAACGTTAGACACCAATGTCACCATCCCACACACACAGACTGCCAAACCACATGGGAAATACATTCAAGACCTGTGCCAACCTGTTCACTGGAACCTTCTTACACACCAACCTGAATGGAGTTGTAAGCGGGTTTAATTCAGATTTTTGGAGCATTTGTTGATGGTTCAGATGCACCAGGCAGATCACAAAAAATCTATAAGAAACTCCATAAACTGGATGGCCCAGGTCTTGTGATAAATTTAATGATAAACACATAAAAGCTGCACCACATTACACCACAGTGACATGGGACCAGACCAGAGCAAACAGCTTTTTCCCACCTTTTGATATGATTACTGCTGCATTTGAGTGCAAATTCTAACACTGTCTTTGCTCAGGTCTGGTGATATTTACATACAAAGACAAGACATGAGTGTGTCTGTGCCCCGCAGAGACATTGTATCTGCAGACAGGCATCATTTTCAGACACCCAGGAAAAAAAAACAACAAAGTTTGTGTCATTAGAGAGACGAAGACAAGGGTGAGTACCAGTGGGGACAGAGGAGGAAGAGCGCAGGCTGTCAAATTCTGAGAAGTCCTCTTTAGACGTACCGTTGGATGCAATGAACAGGTCAAAGTTACCTGAAAGGGGACAACACATGTACACACATACAGACATAATCACATAAAACAAACAGCAAATACACACAAACATACACAGACAGATGGAGACAGACAACACAGGTATGAATGAGTGTGGATAATCTGGTAAACTGAGAAAACTGAACACAATAGGCAAGTGAAAGCATGCAGATGTGTGTAAGCATTTGGTAATGTGTGCTTTATGTGCCCCTTTTGACTCAGCTATTAAGTCTTTGAGACACTAGTCAGCCAAAGAGAACTCAATGAGTGCGAACTGTTCTCCAAAATCTTTAAGACTAAAACACATAATTCCCAGACAAACTAGCTGACGAAAACAAATTTGTTGGTGGAGGTAAGGTTGTGGTGGTGAATTGTGAGTTTTATGGATGTCCTGAAAAAGCTACTCTCTCTTGAAGGTCACCTGTGTTGGAAGTCTTAGGGCGGGCAGCTGCAGAGCCCCATGGGTCAGCAGCAGGGGTAGAGTTTGATGCCCAGGGATCACTGCTTTTCATGGGTGGGACAGAAGGAGTAGCACCCCATGGGTCCACTGGGGCTGCTGGCTTAGGTGCAGACCCTGGGGAGAGGTTCAGAGTTAGGGAGGATGATGGGTTGGATGTAAAACATGAGGTCAAATTGGATAAGAGGAAGAAGTGAGTGAGAGAAAGGTGAAATAAGGTAAGATAAGAGCAAGGTGGTTTCATGCAGGTGCTGACAGCAGGCGTGTATTTGATCTGACCCATTCTTAAACTACAGCTCATCTGTCCCTCTTTGTTTCCCCTTCAACGTTTACATATGTTAACTCCCCAACAGCCTCCTCTCCCTGCCTCCCTGTCCCTTAACACTCCTTTCCTTCACAATATCTTCCTCTAACATCCTCCCCACCTCCTCTCTGTGCAGTAATGCTGCTGAGCCAGTGGAGCAGCATTCCTATTTAACAAAGAGTCACAGTCCTGCAAGCTGCAGGTGGAAAGCAGACACGACACACACGCACAAAAAGACTAACTCTATACACAAATCCTTAACAGCAATGGTCAGTGTGTAAATATCTGATGTCAAGTGAAGAGTGTGGGTGAGGTGTATACCATAAGACTGCCAGGGGTCTTCTGATGCAGCGGCTGCCCCTGCCCCGGCTCCGGCACCAGCCCTGGCCCCTGCGCTCCAGGGGTCAGCGCTGGCACCTGGCTCTGGGACATCCATCAGGTCCATCAAAGACGACTGTGGCTAGAAAGAGCCAGAGGATGTGACCAAGTGACAGGAGACAGGAAGACAGAACAAAGAATGCAGACAAAAGAGGAAACCGTTAGGAAGTACCATCTGTTGGCCAGCCATTATCCTCTGCGGCACCAATACTATTCAAACATACTGACAGCGTTCATGTCATTATAATCCTAAAATAAAACATGCAGCCATACGTCTTCTTCACTTTAGCTCTGTGTGCCTTCAAACTTCAGCCAGCCAGCTATTCGAGCAGAATAATGATGAGTAAACTAGGTAGTCTGCTGCCCGTTAGTGGGCTCATTACTGCTCATGATGCAGTAGGCAGTGTGAGGCAGAAAATGAGGATGGAGAGAGACGAGGCTTTTTCATGGGCATGGTCATGACAATGGAGTAACTGAGTCACTCCAGTCTCCATGACGGTGCAAATTTTACCTCTCTCTTCTTCTTGGGCAGTTTTGCTGAATCTGAGCCTCCTTTCTTACTCTCCTCCAAGGCCATCTGTAGTCTCAGGTCGTCCCCTCTGCGTATGCGCTCCTCCTAAGCACACACCCAGAGGACAGTTAGCAGAAGCAGAACGTGCAGTTTTCTATGATTTTTTTTCTTAACAGGTTGGTCTCGCTTTTGTGGGCAGCATGACATTTGCTGAATAGTCTTTATATATTTCAATTTCAATTCCTATTTATCCATATAAAGTCTATAAACTGGTGTTGCAGATCAGTTTGTTTAATGGAAACTTAGATGGGTAAAGAGAAACAGTTTCCATTTTGCTATCCATACAACTACAGCTGATGAGGATAATGGAACACAGTATCACGCAAATACATGTGCAAAAATCCATATACCTTGAGTATTTCGTACATCTTGTCTGCTCTAATCGACAAGCCCTAACCCTAACAATTATCTTTTGATATTTAGCTGACATCAGAAATGTTTATGTACATAAGAAACCTAATTTCTGAAGTTCAGGAGCTTAGATAACCCTAGCAGCTTTAAGAAAAATATTCATTAACAATGTGAATGCTTAACAGGGTTTCAGAAAGGTTTTTGAGTATGTGTACTTTCAGGGTGATGATCCAATGAAGATAATTAAATTCAAAACTGCCTTTACTGTAAAGTCATTTACTGACATGTTAAAATAAGCTGGTTATCACGAGTGTAAACTACCTGCAAATTTCAAACACAGACCCACAATAAATAAAGATAATGACACGCATGGATTCACGCTCTGCCATGTCATCATATGTTTAATGTATATGTGTGTATGTACCTGCTCTGCAGCCTCTCTGCTCATGGCCAGAGCCAGCTGCAGCTGTAGCTCCTCCTCTCCACTGGTCTGAGGTCTGGCCTGCTCCAGTTCTGAACCGGCGTTGGGAGACGTGGCTAACACACACATTCAGAACATATGTTAACATCACTGCCACATGGGACTCCATCACACACTGTGTATATTACAATTACAATGAAAAGCAGTGACACTGGCTGTGGAAATTCTCTGTGTTAATTGTCCAAAACCAAGATCTGGTGTGATAATTACAATCATACAAATACATATAAACAGTGTTGTCTCGTGAAGCAAGTCATATTTGAAATACATCTGTTCTGTGTGTGTGTGTGTGTGTGTGTGTGTGTGTGTGTGTGTGTGTGTGTGTGATTAGAGGCCATCAGTGAGCCTGTAAAGGATGACAGGTCCATTCAGCTTATTGGATTAGACCAGGCCATGTGGCAGCACAAAAACACATAGACGCTGCACGTGGCAACACACACACAGCTATCTCGCCAAGAGAAGTTACAGCGCCAAAAGATTAGGTTCATTACAGTAGCCTGAAGTGTATGCTTTAATTTAAAGTTTGACTGTGTGAGTTTGGAAACAGTAACCTTGTTGTTTTAGTGGGAACCATGGCGTGGGAGGTGATGACAAGTAACCGTGACATCACCTCATCTCTTAATGTAATTCTTGACTCTTACTCCTGTATAATGTCACTACATCAGCTTGTGCAGTTTCATGCATGTGAATGTTGTGGGTGTTGGTGCACTAAACCTGTTTTCTTGGGCTTGATTTAAGATTTTCTGCGCATACGTCCTTATACAACACTGTTTTATCCATTATAAACAGCATTGGAAAAAACACTGGTGTGCAAATTTAATTTTTGGCCAGACGATTTCTCTCAGACTTTAAGGTTGCCCCTGTTCTCCTACTTAAATAATAAACATTGTCTCTCTCCTTCTGCCTGCCTAATCCTTTTCTCTCCGTCTCTGATTCAAATAAAGACCAGTCATGACATGTGTCACTGCTGATGTGGACACTCCCAAACACACACTCAATGCCCATCGCACTGTGATGATCTTGTGTGTAGTGTTACATCATTTAAAGAGTTATTCAGAAAGCGAACGGTTAGAGAGAAAACCCAAAGGCATTGGTGCAGAGACAAAACAACAACAGTGACACAGATATGACTCAGGGAAACACTGTAGGTTAGTTTCACTATGTGACACAATTAAATCTGAAACCTCCCATTTTGACTGAAGTCTGCAGGAAGCAGACGTCACATCAGCGGTTTTCTATAAACATTACACAGAAAATCTGCCACATCAAATGTTTCCATGATGAGGATCAAATAATTTCTTTTTAAAAAGGAATACCCTGACAGTTCTTTTCACAGTTAAAAGCTTGGCCTTCCCTAAAGAAATGGTTGCTAATTTAGGAATATGCCAGTACGATCACGACATACTGACCCTTAGTAGAAGCAGAGAGAGGACGCAGCCTCACTGCCACCTCATAAGAATGACCAATAATGACACCATGCATGTTAATTCACTGTTCGTCTTGCAATCCCAGGCTAAGATCTTGTCCCTGCCTCCTTTCCTCCCTCCTTGCTCACTTCTTAGCTCTGTTCCTGCCCAACTTGATCCTCAAACCCATGTCTCCCATGCTCCGTTAGACTGTGCGTCTCCAGGGAAAGGGACCAGAAGTACCAGGGGTGAAGGTGTGTTTAGTTAGCTGGTGGCTGGACTTGAACCATGGCTTCGACATCAACTACATATCTGCCTTAAATAGACAGTGAACACACAGGGGTGCTTCAGCCTATACAGAGATAATGTGAACCTGTGAAATATCCAGGGATGATAGGTAATATGGGAAATTGGGACGACGTCTAACCATAAAAAAACAGCAGCAGAGGGTAAATTTCTTCACTGATGCTCAGACAATGTGACACCTCACCATTATCTTCCATTAACATGTTTGATAGATGCATTATATTCCTTTATCAAAGGGATATTTGCCGTGAGCTCTCTTTAAATCTCACCAAAACCAACTGCAAACCAAAGGAGGTCTTAAATAACAGGTTTTTCAACCCCTAAGCCTAAAGAGATATGAAAACTGGCAACACATAACACACACTGCAACACTTGATAGTAGCAAGTCAGCAGCACAAATAAACAAAACTCAAAGCCAACTAAAACACACCAGGTTCTTGCCCACCACTGTGGGAATGGACCATATATGGATAGTCACAATTTCTTGGCATTCCTCACAGGCACAGCTCTGCCTGCTAGGAGCGAAATACATTTAAAAAAAATCCTTCTAATACATGCCACTACCGCTTGTGTAGGCTGTTTAGTCCAGTCGTGTCTCATCTTATCATAATTTTCTGTGCTGCTATTTTTAATAATTAAGCAAATAAACACAAAACTGGAATTGAACAAACACTTCAGCTTACAAAACTCCTTCAAACCAAGCTTAGACCCTAAGGTCAGCCTGCAATTCAAGCTCTAAATGGAGATTTTTGGAGAAGGCGAAATGGGCTGATGACCACTGGTGTCATCTGTAGTAGATTTATGTGGTGATAACAGCGCAGAGAATTTTATCCCAGGGTGTCAACCACTAATGACCGCAACATTCACAGACACCCAGTCTCCTCTCTCTCTAGATAAAGAATTAAGTGGCTGTTTGAAACCTGGTGAGTGAGGCAGTTCCTTGAATGCACTTTCTAGATTGCTTCTTTATATGTTTTCCAGACTTGTGGCGTGAAACTGTGAAAATGTATGTTGTTCCCAGCCTTTGTGGGAGACTTGAGTGTTGCATGCTCCTGCGTTATCACTTAAGTGTTCAACAGAGAGAATGCTAGGAGCACTGGGGCCTTGACTCTGATCTGTTTAGACCCCACATGCACATACATAAAGACACACAACTAGGATTGCGTACCAAACTCTGTACTTTTAGGGTACTGACCAAATTACATCAGTGCAACAGAGTACCAATTTACCAATCAGTGCCTAATTTTGGTACCCGAGAGAACATCTGGGTGAAAACGCCGAGTTTAAACAAGAGGCAGACGTGCTGTGAGAGCCCCAAAGCCTGGAAGCTAGCCACGGAGCTCCAAGGACGGCAACAGTGGAGTGACCAGGGTTCGCCTTCAGACAGGAAGCAACCCAAAGCTGGCAAATCGGCCATGGAGCTCTGCGGCCACTCCGTTGGCTTTCCAGCAAGACAAAACCAGCACTGCAGCGCTGAACTGCCACGATAGTTCCTAGATTGTTTAAGCAAAAGCCTAGAATCACTGTTAGATCGTCATCAACGCCATCCCAGCAGCTTGTTCAAAAAAAAAAAAAAATCACATTTTTGTTACAACAGAGAAAGTCAAGTACCAAAAAAGGTACCGTTGGGTAGCAGTACCAAATTACAGGTACCCTTATCAGTTAAAATGTGAATAACCCAACACTACACACTGCTTAGCATTGCTCAAATAGCATCACACCACTTATGTCAACTTACTTTAATCATGCTGATCTTCAGAGGCACTAAACTATTTGAACATCTACAGTGAGACGAAAAGGCATCATTGAACCAGAAACATGGAAACTAAAGCAAAACCAGCTTTTACTATTGGCTCGTTAACCTCAGAGACACTACAGCCTAAGGGGACAGTTAGGTTCTTTCACAAACATGCACAGGTTAACATTAACACACACAGAAACACAGGTGTGTGTGCAGACTGACAAGGTAGAGACAAATTACAAATAACAACCTGTAATCACAAATTTGGAATTCATGACATCCGATTGCCTTAGGTCAAACATATTTCAGACCTTTCCAGATACGTAGGAGACTAGGGGGTGGGGGGCATGCTAGGTTAACACCAACAGTCCCACTTGTCCCACCGTTCATTCACACCCTGTCTGGACAACAATACTCGGAAAGTTCGCCTGGAATCCCAAAAATCCCCCCCTGGAAACGCCCACAGCGACAGCCCGGCCTCACTCCTATTGGCCGGTCTCTCCTTCAGTTTTCTCAACTGATGACTCAGCTGCTGGAGCTTCCGCCTCTGAGCCACACGTTCAAACATAACATACAGGAAGGAATGTGGGCCACAAAGTAAAAGATGAACGTGAGCTTCATGCAACATGTAGGATCCATGCAGGCTGAAACCACGTGTGTCAATAGACAGACAGACACACACACACACACACACACACACACACACATCCATAGGCGCATACACACCTCAATCCTGCTGTGCACAAAGGACTGGGGGTCAGGGGATGAAAGGGAAAGAGGCCAAGGTTCACTCTTTCATTTCAACTTCTCCATTCTTTCTCTCCGTCCCTTTCTGCATTACCCCATTTCCTGACTGCCTGACTACGCCTCACCCACTCCATCTTTCTATCCATACATTTAAACTCTGACTTTATTCTCTGTTAGAATAAGCTCGTGAAAAAAAGAGTACTAATAGAAACTCAAGAGCATCGATGACTTATCACAGAATATGTCACTAAGTATGAGGACTCCTAGCTTTGCATGATGAAGATACCAGACTAATTAATATAAAGTTAGAGGGCAATAGTAATGTGCAGCCGTCGAAAATATCCCCACACATGTCGCTGCACTCTTCATCAACAGAAAGACATTCCCTCTCTAGTCCCTCTTTTTATTCAAGGCTATCCAAGTCTGGTTTCCATTCACTTCCTTCTTTCCATCATATCTCTCTCTCAGTGCAATCTTCATCTATCCATGTCTCTCCTGTTGCACTCTGTCACTGTGCATTTCTATATCTCTCCCTGTGTCTCTGGAGGAGTGAACGAATCACTGAAAAGACGAGCAGATTCCTCTGTCATGTGGATGATAGAAGCTAGGGGGGTGAACTCTGCTTCCTCTTCTGTCTGTGTGTGTGTGTGTGTGAGTGTGTGTGTGTGCTGAGGAATGCAACCCTACTGCGGGACTGCAAGCCAGAGACAGAGCAGGGGGAGGGGGAGGTTTCAGGATGTAGGCCAAAGTTACACCAACTGGGACACAATACAGTATAAGGGAATATTCTGTATTACATGTGTTGTTTTAACATACGGAATGAGCCCTGGGTGTGTTACAGCCTCTGTGGCGGCTAATACTTACAGCCATGGTAGGATGCAGGTGAGCCCTCTGATCTGCCGTACTCTTCGCTGTAGGAAGTGGAGAGGTTGGGTTGAGACGAGCCTCGGCCAAAACCCATCTGACTGCTCCCAGTGGACACCTGGGCCATACGCTCTTTGGTCTTCAAAGCCTGAGACCTAGTAAGACAAAAAAATACTATGATCAGTCATCTTGACTAAAGTTAAGGTTCTTATCATCCTTAGCATAATGTTCAAAGGACAAAATAAGCATGAGGTATAAAAGGTTAATTGCTCTTTGGAGACCTAGCACACCAATTATGAGATTGAGTCTATTTCCAAAACCACCCTCATTCTAAAATGCCACAACATTATCATTAATTAGAGTTAAACATGCTGCCAACAACAAATGATGAAGCAACCCCCTTGGGCCAACTAGTGCTGGAAATGATGCAATGCCCTGTTTTTTGTAAAAAATCAAATCAGAAAACAGATGGATAAACAAAAAAGCAAACCATATACAGACATTTTTTGAAAACTGGTATTTTCCCATCCAAAAAAATAAGTCCATACAACTTTTGTTTTACAAAAACGACGGCAAACTCATGCTGGAGTTAGCGTCTAACACAAGCCCTTTTTAGATAGGAATTGTGCAAATTTGCAGGAAAGCCCAATCAGTCTTCTTTCAGCATTGGCAGTATAAAAGCAAAACTGGGGAGTGCGGCAAAGTGCCGCCTACCTACTTTTATTTATACAGAATGCGCCTTTTTCGGCGCAATGGGGGGCCTGAGCAAGTAACAAAACGTGTAGCTCAGTGTGTGACGTAAACAGTGACGTGGGAGGGAAGCTGCGGCTGGTCAGTCCTTCGGCAATTCTCTCGTAAGTCGGCCCGTTCTTCACCGTCCCCGTCATCTGACGGTTAATGGCCTCTTCGTTTGCGAGGGCAAGGAGGGCGCGCAATTCCTTGTCTCCCCAGTTGCTCATCTTTACAGTGTCTGTCAGGTTTGCGTTTCTCTCTTGCTACTAGCTGCACGCTAATTCCTGCTATCATCTGTTTCCTGTTTATCCACCACCAGTGGGTCGCACGTGCAGCGTCATGAACAGCTCCTCCCACAAGTCTTCAACAGCCCCTCCCGTTGCGAAAGGCCGCCTCAGTCTGTTTAAACTAAAAGGGTTCCGCCAATATGACTACCCTCCGAGGCGGAATACTGGGCACCTCGGATCAACTCGCCAATCCAGCTCTGTGTGTCTAAAAGCTTGCCGGCAAAACGGCCCAACATTCGCGGAAAATCTGGCAGTGTAAAAGGGGCTACAGTCTCCCCTTGTTGCAAAGGTAGTGCAGTGTTAACAGGTCAACATTACGCTTTTCAAAACACCTACTGGAGATCCAATAACCATTTATCCCCTTTGATATGAAGACAGAGAAGCTTACTCAAAAATACAAGTGATGCTCTGGACATGGGCAAGTTTTCCTTCCACTCCTCATCGATAACAATCCCACTTTCAAAATTGTACAACCATCTGCTACTTAAATTGGGCCTGTTCAAAAATCGTTGTTTCTGGTGGACTTCAAACCGCAGACGCTGAGGATGGCCATGTAACATTGGGCACAGTAGAGGCCTCCATTCATCCTTTTTCAGATGTAAGGTTGTCATTAGATAAAGCAGTGTTAACAAAACGTAAAAAAACTTGTCTCTAGCACAAGCACATTACACTAAGCAACACCGGGCATGCGCAAATTGGGGAGATGATATCATTGTTTCCCCAAACGGTCTGTTTTACATGTCCACACTGATATATAGTAATGGAGAATAGATGCCACTTTGGTGACCTAAAAGTGTGTGGATAAGGGGCCAAAACATAGAAGAAAATATAAGTTCTCAAAAAGATCTGTGCATGTGTAGACAGGGCCTAAATTGAATCATACAGCAAATCAGTACAGTCACAGAAAGTCACTGAAGCAGGCAACTCATGTCCATAGTAGGTTTTCCTTAGGACTGTTCATCTGGAAAACACATCATCTGTGCCGCCATTTTTCAAGCGCAGTAACCTTGTTTGCACTAGGGATGTCCCGATCCGATATTCGGATCGGTATCGGCCGACCGATATTAGCAAAAAACGGGCATCGGCATCGGATCGGACCGCACGGAAAAATGCCGATCCATGAACTCCGAGCGCTCCGCAATTCAAGCAGTCCATTCCAGTGATCCGCTCCAGCTCTTACTATCAATCCACCAGGCCAACATGCAGACGGCAGATACACAGAGGTTAGGAAGAGTAGCGGTCAATTTAGTTAACTGACTATTTGTTTTCTGCTCTGGTTTTTTGAGAGTGATATTTTTATTTGGTTTACACTCTTACTGTTTAACCCATTTAGACCGGAATACACATCTATGTGTATATCCCTTTAAGAACGGGATACCCATGAATGAAAGGGATTAAGAACGGAATACACGTGTGTGTATTTCCACGTTATCGTCTTTTTCGAGGCATGTGACTGATGATATGTCTATCTATTTGTCAGTGAGGTCACGTGACAGAAAAAAAGCTTCGTGATTGGTCAGAATAGGTCAACAACAAAGTAAAGCAAAGTCCTCATTATTGGTTGAATTACACATGTAGCATGCTTGCACCTGACCCCTCCCCGTTTATATTTTCTGCCGGGAAAACAGATCGGTCTTTTGACAGCTGTCAATCATGGAGTCAAGCGAGGGGTTAGGGTTACGCCAGGGCCACACCGCCCGCGGAAGTGCTGCGAAGCGCAGCGCACTGAAATTCTCGTGCGAGCCGGAGCACCTCCGTTCACATCAGATGCGCATTTCTCCACGCCGGTCGACAAGCGGTTCAACTCCCTAACCAGCTGACTTCCTGCCCAGCTTGACACATTCGCTCGCGGCTCGCGCAGAAAATAGACAAGACGCCAAAACGATCGCTGCAGGGCGCGAGCCGGCCGCGGCGCAGCTGGTGTGGATGACACAAGCGGTTAACATGGGCGCCGAGAGGCGAAGCCAGTTTCCTGTTTCCTTTCGGTATCAACATACCGCCCACCCACCCCCCCAACCACCTTCGGGGGTGTGTGTCATTCAACCACCTTTTGTGGGGGGGGGGGGGTTATGTTGATTTGTCGAAATGGCTTGACTGACTATAATAAATGAGGACCTTTGACTTTTAAGAATTGTATTTGAGCTGTTACAGAGCTCTCAATTAGCAGCAATAAATAAATAAATAGAAATACAATGATAACACATGATTGATGATAAATAAATAAATAGCAGCAATAAATACATAGAATATAATGATAACGTGACTGACGATAGATAAATAAATAAACAGCAGCAATAAATAAATACATAGCAGCAATAAATAAATAAATAAATGAATAGAAATACAATGATAACAATTGATGATGAATAAATAGTTATCTGAATCACACACACTCTCCTCTCTGTCTTATGGTTGTCTGTTATTGATATTTTTGTTGTTTATTGAGTTTCTGAAAATCTAAGTTGAAGATTACTGTAAAACAAGTAAGTACAAATAAACGCTACACTTGTAAGCTCTCAAATGCTTTTTATTTCATGTTTCTATCTGCTCCAGAGCCTGAGAAAATAAGGTTTTAGTAGGCGAGGTCAGTTCTTTTACATTTTTCAGAATATGCTCAGGATTAGGGGTTTTATACAGGCTTTATAATGCCTTTTTTCCAGGCGAGATTAGGTCTAAATGGGTTAAGTAAAGAGCACTGATGGCATTGTTTTGGGCACAATTAGTGAAATTGGAGCCATGGATGGACTACAAAAACACTACTAAAATAACTGAAAAGGAAAGGCTGCATTGTTTGTTAAATGCCAACAGTGTCTTGTGGTGTTAATCTATTTTTTATTTATTAGGGGGCAAAGCACAAGTGTGTGGAGTCTTGCTGCTATTTTAATTTCATTGTTAGACATTTTAAAGATTGCTTGTGTTGATTCATTTTCTATTTATTAAGGGGCCAAAGCAGCCAAAGCAAACCAGCTATATTTTTTATTTAATGTTAATGTTCAAGTTTAAAGTTTATTTATTTAACCCTGTTAACAATAAACAGGTCAGTTTCTCATACCAACTGTTGTGGATCATTCTAACTAACCTGATTAAGTAGTTGTTCTTGTTAGAGTAATATTGCTTGATCAAACCTTTTCTAACATGACTGACAACAAAATAAGTGAATATGTATAATACGTGCTTGGATTGGATCGGTATCGGCCAAAACTCAAGGCTGTAATATCGGTATCGGATCGGAAGTGAAAAAGCTGGATCGGGACATCCCTAGTGTGCACCTCGTATCAGTGAAAGAGATCCACTGTAAATGGCATAACAGTAGAGATATGGAGATATGGAGTAGCACGACACCCTGGGGATCAATCTTTGCTAAGCAACAACAGGTGTGGAAACACAGTGTCAGCTGTAATAAAATTGGACACACCAAAAGCACCAGTCATTGTATAGTAGAGGAAGCGGTGCCAGGGTCTGGTGTGGCGTCAGAGCCGTTTGGTCGACCTCGCTAGCTTTCGACACCACAGCTGAGAGCAGAGACAAGGGTGAATAAAGTCTAGTGCTTCAACGAACAGTGTGCTCCAAAACTTATGATTCAAATTAATGTTTTTTAGGGAGCCCTTTTAAGGGACAAGGGCAAATGCAAAGTTCTGTCACTGTCACACCCAACACCCTGCAGAATCAGTGGACCCCTAAGGTTTTTAACTACTGTGTATCTGTTCCAAATTTGATTTACAAAGCTCTTACCTCTCTCCTTTGAGGCGGTCCTCATCTTTCAGTAGGACCACAAGCTGCTTGCTCTTCTCCCTGACGTTGATGCCCTGGTCTTTGCCGTCTCTGTCGATGTACTGGAAGTCCTTCAGAGTCTGGATGGCGAAGATGTTCTCCTTGCACTGCAGCGCCACTCGCTCTGAGCCTGTCTTGATCAGGTAGTCGAGCAAAGTGAGCGCCTTGTAGACGTGGCGCCAGTTCTTGCCGTGGTCGTTGAGCCGCTTCCAGATCATGCTCATGATCTCGCTGAAGGCAACCACGTTGTAAGTGAGGTCAGCGATCTCGGACATGAGCGAAGATGACGGGCCCCAGGGGTCGTTGGAAGTGGCCTCTCTGACTTTCTTCTCGGCGTCAGAGTAGTTGTTCACCATGTTCTTCATCTGCCGGCGGATGGTGGACCTCGGCATGGTGGCGGTGGGGGTGGGACAGATGGGAAGAAATAAAATGCACGCTCTCACACAGGAGAGGAGATAGGACACCAATGATGTATGGGTAGAGAGTCTAACACACACCAAGAGCTTAAATGTGTGTGCGTGCTTCCGGTGAAGCTTGTGTTATGTATCCGTGCGCCTGTGTCCTTTCTCAAGGCACGGCGGTGGCGTGGTGTATGTGTAAATCTTCTTGTGTGCAGGTGTGTGTTGTGTACGTGTGCGTGTTTGTTTATGAGGCTTCTCCAGGCCAGTGCAGTGTTCCTGAGTCCTCCAGAACAGCGTCTGTTAAAACCATCTCCACACACACAGTGCTGGCTGCACACATGACGACGCCATCACCTGGGACAGACAGACAAATAATCGGTTAGTGGAAGGAAGAGAAGAAAAAAGACATTTAGGATATGTAACAGAATAAAGACGGGAAAAACTGATGCATACTAAAAGAGCAAACACCTCAACACTTCCTTGTTATAATCAGTTTCTGAGTAACTCTCACACGTCTGAATACGCCAGCAGCTTAGTATTTGTTACAGCACAATAACAACTTCACGTTTTAAACCAGTGATCTTAACGTATCAAATTCCCCCTCCCTAAGCAGTCTTCAAAGCATGTATCACATTTAACCTACCTTTCATTAGAGAAACACTTCAGGAAAAAAGTCCTTAATATTTTTGACACTTTCGAATTACATGACAAGACAAACTACGAAACATCTGGTAAAGTCGTGGGTCTTATCAGAGTTTCTTTCTTGAAGGTGTTGGCGTAATTCCGATTTCCACACCTAAACAATGAGATTGTGAAGATAATCTGTATTTATAGGAGCAGCTGTAGAGCCTTCCTTTATGAAACTAGACTAAACATTATGCTTCATACTTTCACGCTTAGATAAGCAATTTCCATGCACTTACACAGAGCCTGCCTCCTTCTTATTGAGGAGGGCCAGAGTGTTGTGACCAAGAATTGTGTTTCCACTTTTGTAATCACATTCGAGTTTACAGTAATCTGACTCAATCGCAAATTACAAGGCAGGGTGATGAAAATGAATAATTTCAGGGCGGTATGTGTGTGTGATGGAAAAGTTGCTCATTGGGTGGGCTGGGAGGACAAGACATGGGAGCAGAAAATGCAAGATGAAAGCAAACACAAGATTACTTGGAACGAATTAGAAGAGCCGTGCAATGAAAAGACACAACATAAAAATAGTAATCAAAAATGCACAAACAATATTAAGATATAACTAGTGTCTCGTGGGATAATAATGTCCTAGTCACAGTGTTTCACTATCAAAAAGGTTTACAGTTCTACGTAGATAGTGAGTGACGTGATGATTTTCTAGTTACTGAGAAAAATTACATCTACATTTGTTGATTAATGTCACAAATTCTATGTTGTATTAGGTCTTACTCAGTTTTCAAGGCAGATCTGACAAACACACCGTCTGTTTGCAGGTGTACGAAATACACTACTTTACAAAAGGGCAACCTTGTAGAGACATGCAAGAAGTGCTGGGCAGTATACCGGTTCTTCAAGTATACTGGTTTCCTTCTTCCCCATGATATAAATTTGTCATACTTTGTCTTACCGGTGAATAAATGATACAACTGCTATAACTCTTCAATGCACATCTGAGGGCACTAGGGGCTACACATGCCATGTAGAGTGGGAGAGGGGGACCCTATCAACTGCATACCCTTCTTACGAATGTTTGTAATTTAATAATACAACATCTGATAACCCACACTTACTCTTTTTAACAGGGAAATACAATGACGCACAACAAAATTACACTGCTGGGTAGAGAAAGCAAAGAGGTAAAGAAAGGTGTGAGAATGAAGAAAGAGACCAGAGATGCACCACAGGAACTTGTGCCCAAAAAAAAGAGATGTGTCTGCCGAGTGGAAGCTTTTTGTTTTTAAAAAATATGCCATTACGTTACTTTGTCTAGCCACTGTTGTTGCAGGCCCTGGTAACACTTGCAACTTATACCATCACCTCAGCAGAAAACTATGGCAAGCCGTTTTAACATCTAAACGCTAAGTTTCACAATCCAGAATTACCATTGTAGATATCAACATCATTTTGACTAGTATGCATTTTAATTGAAGATATCCATAACGTAATTCTGACTAGTCAAAACTACAGTTTTTTCCTGGAATACCAAGAGTGAAAGACTACAGTCGTCAGATTCAAGGTCATCAGCAGCGCCAGTGAAACCAGAGGGTCAGACATAGCCTTAAGCGGCATTTGCTCAAGACTCTACATGTGACAGGAAAAGCAAGCAGTAGAGGGATATTATGAACGCAAAAACAATCCACCTATGTAAGGTCATGGTCCTGCTACAGACTGTCGAGAAAGACAGGTTCAGAGCAGAGCAATGACTGAAACGGTGGATTCGAGGTATGTCTTACTGGGGCAAAAATACTTCAGACCTGTGCAATCGAATATTTGCAAATTATCTCTGTAAACACTAAAATACTTAAGGTATATAGATTTTTAGTGGCTTATCTATTAGTCCAATAACAAAATGTTTATACGCTGCAACTGGTTGATGCACTCTGATTTCTTCATATATTGTATCATTGTAGGACCAAGCAAACGCAATAGTAATCAAAGACTTCAGTATAAAAATGACACTGAAATGTTTTTAGATTTAATGTCGTACTGACAGTGGAATAAGCCACTACGCCCAGTGATGAGAAAAGAAAAAAAATACCGTGATAAAACAGGAAACCACCAGAATCTTATAAAGTACTGTGATAATAATATTTGGGCACACCGCCCAGCACTATATGCAAATACCACACGGCAGCACAAAAGCAATCGCTATTTTTAGCAGAGCCGGATTTTAAGTTTTGCTAATTCAATTTCAGCATCATTCTTGAACAACTTAGATCTTAATATGTCTTTATCCATGCTCTTTCCCATCACCGCAGTATTAACATTCAGTCAGTGTATCACCACGAGAGACGCCAGCGCAATGAGTGAGTAAAAATGTGTTTCCACCCTTTGGTGGGTGGCAGGGGAGATAAACCATTTCCAGTCTGACGATGACTACAGGAGTGACTGATGACTCCTCTGTCCTGTTTCTAACAGATCAGCGGCAGCCCAGTTACTGATCACTTCCTGACGCACAAGAAAGTATGGAAAGTGTGTGGACACGCACAGCTGTGTGACCTAGACATCTCATTTCCATATTCAATGAAAATGTTACTTGAGTGTGTGACATTAAGATAAGAAACACACAGCTACTGTTTATGGGCCTTGTATTTATCAAGTCGTGTCCTCATGTTTATGTGATACGGGGTGCTGAGAAAGAAAAGTCGATTCAATGAAATGTGATGCAAATGTGATGCAAACACGCCACAGCAGGATCTATATAACTTGATAATTTAGTGAGATTAGCACAGAGACTGTTTTACTTTCATTTATGACACATTCACACACATTCACATCAGCTGCAAACTTACCAAATCTAATTTAATTCATTGTTTTTTCTGATGTTTTTTTTTTACCACTGTTCCTCTGACTGCCACCCAGGGCTGTTCATCTAGACCTAAGATGACTTCTCGCATTCAGTAATCTGATCCCTGCACCAAGCGTGCACCAACATGCCCCACGACCTGCTGCCTGCATGAACAGAGGACGAGTGTTAAGTGATTAACAGTCATTGCAGACTCCGTGTTAAATGCAACAGTTCGATGTTTTAGTTTTAAAAGTAGCAAATGGCAATGTACATTTATTTATGCATGTGTATGCATTTGTTCCAGGAAGCTTCCTGCCTAGCAATGCTACGGAAAGACAGCTGGGAGGGACGAGGGTGAGGACACGAGGGGGAGTGTGAGTGTATGTGTTGGGGAAAGGGGTTAAGAAAACAACTTGGCACATCCCCTAAATTTACTAAACGCTGGTGAAATGTGATTCCTGTGGAGCATGCCCCCCTCTCAAGCGTTCCCTCGTCACCCTCCTGCACCCTGCATCCGCATGAATACAGCCCAGACCTAATGACACATCTGCTGCTATAATCACCTATTCACCCATGGCAGACAGGAAGAAGAGAGGAGAGTCTGTCTTGTCCATCCCAGCCCCCCCAAACACCCCGGAACAACCCCCACCAGAAGACACCGCTGGCCCGCCTTCCTTCAGCCCCTCTGTGCTTAGATCATTCGAGCCCCAAGGCCCAGAGGAGACGGCATACAAAACTTGTATGTGTGTGTCTGTGTGAAATACACAGGCTATTCATGTGTCAGTGCAGGTTCATCATGTCTGAATGACTGAGCCCGTCATTCTTGTCAAATTGCCACTATGCCTCGTCCTTGGAAGAACAGAGGGATAACCATAAAAATCATTTAGTCCAGGGTCTACTTCTTGCAGCTTCAGATGAACTCACACACCTATTATGAGCAGCCACGCTTTCGGTCTCCTCCTCTTTCTGCCTGTCATTGTCTGACTCACACACGGAGGTTAAAGGAAATTTGAGAAGAAATTAACAAAATTACACAAATAACGGCATCTACTCAATGGCAGTCCAGCTCCCTCATTTAAAATAATACTCTTTATAATCTAATCAGTAGTCGTGCTCCTGGCTTGGATTACTTGTATACCTGTATGAATATTTGCAATGCAGACTGCCTATCGTCAATACTGGATTGATACTGGATTACATTCAACATTATAGATTTTCTCTACATCCTCTACCACTATTTCCATTTTGTGTTTCGCTTTGGCTGCCTTTGCTGCCACCGAGCTGTCACATTCGTGTAGAAATCTTTGACTATCAATGCATAGGATGGACAGAAGCATGGCATCAGCAGAAAACTGACAGTGCCCTGCAACAACATAAAAATTTGGGCTCATTCCAAGGTCAGAGTTTTTTGAATGGATTAGAGCAGAGAAACTACCTTGTAAATATAGCCTATGTCATGGAAAACAGTAACCACATGACCTCCAACGTGGACTAGGAAAACACGGTGGCGTGCACCACTACATGCAAAGTCAGAAAATTCAAATTTCACCTTCCTGTGGTGTCCCGTTTTAACCAAATAAGATACTGGTGAATCAACTCACAACATTATCAGATCTGTGCCTTATGCCACAGCTAAAAATAACTGCAAGATAATTTGATAGTGTGATGTTTACATTTTAAAAAATGAATTTAAAAAACAGCTACAGAAAAAAAGGGCAATTACTATAAAATGCCTGTGGAAACTTTTACTGTACATGAAAAACAAGTGATCTAGGAAAGCCATTTCCTGTGCAAACCCAAGGCTATTAGGCTAAGTGAAGGCTGGGACACAGTGTCATGTTGCGTCATGTCATTAGGGTACAACATATGCATAGTAAAGTCTGGTCTCTTAAAAGCAATTCCATACAAGGCATAGATCTGATAATAATGTCACTGGTTCATTCATCAGTATCATATAGTAAAACAGTCCTCACACAATTATTTCAAGTATATAATGTATGGAACAGACTGACATACCCATGAAGTGCTCTGGTGGTGCTTATCAACTTGCTTAAATGTAAATCAATTCCTTTGGCAGAGGAGACATCAAGACTCAATTGCAGGATCGTTACTGGGGTTCATCAGACCGTGTTTAATGGATCACATCAACAATAAAAAGTCTGATAACTTTCCGGTAGTGTTTGATGCTTCCAGGATGACAGCCATCAAATATGCCAGATCACACTTAAAGTTAAAACACTGGGCATGGTGAATGAATGACCTACACATTTACTGCAAAGCACACAAAAAGTAGATGACACGGCAATGTCAAAAACTATACAAATAATTAGCTCAGGGTCTGTGTCACCAACCGCTCTACATCAAAGTACTTGGACATGAGTCAGGAAAACATGATTGACGTCTATAACAGAAGCACATCGGTGGAGAAGCATAAATCTGGCTTAGCAGAGGACTCACAGCAGTTGTTGCTGTGCTGATTTCAAAGTGTTGCCAGTACAGAAAAAAACAGAGTAGAGACTGAGGAAAGGAAGGCATAGTGTGTGTGGGACAATGTCATGACCTACAGATATTTGCCAGGAACATCCCAATACGACACTAAATATCAACCACAAAGAAAGTGGAGAGAGAGCAGTCTCATCGCTAGGATACAACCAGCCAAACCTCTCACGGGTGTGTGTGTGTGTGTGTGTGTGTGTGTGTGTGCGCGCGCCAGTGTCTGGGTGTGTCTTGGCAAACCCCAGGTAAACTGTGATTAGCAACAAGGGTTGAGAGCAGTACACCAAGAACAGGTCTGCCTTGCCAGGCCTAAACAACAAGTGTAAAGCTGATCTGGAGATAGAGGGCTTGCACAACCGAGTGCCTGTGTGTGACAATATCTAGCATGACACCGAGTTACCCAGCTGGTTCCTTCACCACCTTCATTTGGACTTAATCTCAGTGTAACCACAAGCAGCATACACCCGTAATTAATCTTAAACCACTCAGCTACTCGAAGATTAAGTTCCTTCAAGCCAAACTAACAATCCTATCAAGTCTAACCCAAGGAAAATCCAACCACTACAACGTGTTTCAAAAGCCTTTAATGTGACTGAGTGTGTATGAGTTGTGATGAGCATCAAGCCTGACGCAGGGAGGAGAAGCCACCTTCTGATCGGCATGTCACCCCGCCTTTTGTCCTCCCTGGCCGGCTGTGAGACAAAGCCAAGTCAGGGAAGGGAGGAGGACGGTGATGATGCATCTGTCACCCACTGTGACTGACTGATCATCCTGACAATAGACAAAGCCCTGCCCCTCTCTGAGGCCACGTTTATATGTGCAGCTCTGAGTACAAAGCTCACATCCGAACACCACTGTACCCCACAAAATAACCAAACCTTACCACCGATCAGTGTGTTGAGGTGTTGACGCCTGCCTACCTACCATCGGGGTTAGTCGATTGGAAACGGAGCGAGTAAACAGACAGCGCCCACACCGTGAAGAATTTCCCTAAAATCGCAAATAAGCACGTCAAGTTTTGCCTTGATGACTCACAACAGCATGAACTCTGCAGTCGCCTCTTTCAAAGCATGCTTAACTGGTGGAGGAAATAATAATGAAGCCGCTCCCAAAAAACGGGAAGAAAGGCAACAAATCACAGCGTTTCATTGAACTGATGTGATTGATAGCACTAAGCTAAAGTAGCGTACGCTGCCTCAAACACATTCCCAATGTATTTACCTGTTTGAATTGCGGGATAAACCTGAGTGTAACAGACACCTAACTTTATGAAACGTCACTTTAATACATTGGGTGGAATAACTAGCCCGTTTGCGACTCACAGTCACCGCTAACGTTAGCAAGTTGAGCAAACTTGCGGCAAGTAGTTGTCACTAGCTAGCAAAATAAGCTAGCTAACATCGTTAACTTGCTTACGTTGGTTTAGTTAGTCAACTCAGGTGATTGGAAAAGTGTGTATCCCGACTACATTTTTATTTCCAGCATGTTGTGACCCACTCTGTTTGCCACTGAGATTGATATTAGTGACTGTAGACACAATCACTGACCAACGGTCGTTTCCAATACGAGATCAAAACTTGCCCTGGGAAAAAAAAGTTGGATCAAAGCTAGCAAAGCTTATGTTACGTTAGCAAGCGGCAGACCTGCTCTCTCCCGTGATTCGGCTAAAAAAAAACAACTGTTGCACACTCAGCATCTATATTTAATACAAAGCTTGTATTTTTTGGATTCACAGTCACTTCCATACCTAACTGATAAATACACGAGCATTCCGGCCAGCTCCTAAACGTATTTATATGCTAAGACATCCAACTAGCATGCTAAGCTAGTTAGCATTCCTTCAAGCTAGCAGCCAAGACGGGTGCTCGGTGGAGACATCACCAGAGCAAACTGGATTACAGGACACCCTGGAAAAACAAAACAACTCGACTGTCTTGAAAGCCGACGTGAACTTACCATCTTTTTTGGGCCACGTCAGGTTCAATTATTAGTCCAGGGCTATAAAACCATAAACTAGTTGCGCGAATTCCAAGGAAAAAAATCAAAATAGAGTACTTATTTCGGCGTTCAGGGAGCTTGTTGCGCCTCCGCCTAGCTATGTGTTGCTAATGCTAAGCCAGCTAAAGCCAGGCTACACGTATCTCCTCCTCCAGAACATGGCGGGCAAAGCGGGAGGGGGGGAAGCTGGGAAGGGTGTGACCAAGGCGGCTTGACTTGCCAGGGGCACAGAAAATCCCTTTACTCCCTGGTGAAAACTGCAGTAATGTCAACCATTAAGTCATAAATGTAACGTTGCAGCAACAGGGCAGACCTGTTTCAGAGTCACCATCATGGTACTTCCATATATTTCATCCCAAATTTCCACAAGAGTGACATGCAGGGTGGGCCTGATTTTTGGGAGAGGACACAATAAGCCTTATAAAATGGAAAACTACAAGGATATTCTGTTTTAAAGCACACTTCCTGTCTGTTGTCTTCTAGCTGTGTTTGGGCAGGCCTTTCAGGTTAATCAGGTTCCTCTCAGGAAACTAAAATTTCCTCCTTTATCATTAAAGTTGTACCAGCCATAGGGAATAAAATAGGAGGCTTAGTAGGAAATCAAGTGCATGTCATGGTTTGTCAGTGTCAAAGATAGCCTGGTGTGTTGTGTGTGTTACAGGTGTGTCCGAACAAGCCGCAAACATTGCAGGACAGCATTCCATCACTCAGAGTTTTCCACTGTCTCTGTGCAACCGTCTCATCATTTAAATAGAGGGAGGGACACGGTTTCACACATTTCAGACACACACACATCACACAGTCGTTTATTCAAATCAGGTTCTATGAATAGACGTGAAAGGTTCCCAGAAAAGTGTACAGTGAGCTATGAATAGACGTCTACATGTGTACATGGAGGGTGTGATGATTAAAAATAGAGGTAGGGATCAAAACGTCACATGCAGAGAAGTTGCCAACACCTGCATACCACCTGTGTACTGCAGTATGATGGTGTCTGTAAACTTTTCTGGCTCACTATTAATATGCTGTGCTTCCTGACTGGCAGTGAGGTTTTATTTTGGTCCTTTTCTCCTTTCATCGTCTCACCAGAGCTTCACTCTCTGCTATGTTCAGAGCACAGGATAAGCCAAAGAAAGCCTAAGCCAATTGTGTCCGTCGGCCTGGGCATGAGAGAGTAAGAAAGGGAGAGAAAGACAGACTTGGACGTCATGGTGCGAATAGGCTGTTTAAACAATACCTTTCTGTTATCAGGCACACTAGTTTTATGGCTTGAAACAGAACACAGTTGACATTTGCAGACCAGGATGCAAAAAAACACAGTTGACATTTGCAGACCAGGATGCAAGAAAAACACTGATTACTGTTGTTACTGATTATTAACTAACGCAAGACCTTCACCAAAAATGTTTTACTAGCTGTGTTTTTTTACACACTGATAGTAACCGAAACCTGGCAATTGCTCTCACTATCATCTTGGATCAGCTTTTTTTTTTTTGTTGGTGTGAATTCAGTAATGTGAGCAGATGACTCACTGCCGTGGAGGCATCCACATTAAAAGCACAACTCCTGAAACACAGTGGAAAAGTCAATATTTAGCTCAGATAATGATCTTATTCAGAAGAGGATTATGAACCAAAGCTGGTTTGTTCAACAACACAAGAGGTGACCGAAGACGGAGGTCATTATATTTTTGTGTTACTGAATATATATGTGTGTGTTTGTGTGTGTGGATATAGAATACAAAATAAAAACATTTGTTTCATACTGCTTTCTTATAATGTTATGCAAAGACAAAAGACCCTGACTTCATTTTAAAGGTCCAGTGTGAAGGATTTGGGGGGATATATTTTCAGATATAGCATGTAATATAAAAAGTGTGTATTTCTTAGGTATGTCCTTAGAATGAGCCATTAATATCTACATTACAATATTATATTTATTATTTCTTTTATAACATTTTAATCATGTAAGCACTAGTGATAAACACTGTAGCATAATGCACATTTTTATTTCATTGTTTTATATTTACATACGTCTATTTCATACCTTTAATCTTACTAATTATAATTCTCTGTTCTTTACATCGGAGTGACTGTCACGAATTGTAAGATCCTCTCTGTATTTCTGATTCTGATTCTAATACATAGGTAGCGGGGCCACGTGTCCGGAAAGTGCCATGTTGCACCATCATGTTTCTACAGTAGCCTTGAACGGACAAACCAAACACTAGCTATAGATAGGTCCATTCACATTTTCACATCAGCCACCCTAGTTAGCACATGCTCTTTAACAAGCAGTGTCTGAAAAATGTAGATTTTTTTTTTTAACATGAAACTGTTTGATTCAGTGTTTCTACCAGTTTAAATCCGCCGGTCTGTCTGTTTTGGAGAGGAAGAGACCACTGCGGATAACTCGGCTCCCGGTAAAAATCTCCTGAACAATGAACGCTGAAGGAATTCTAACTAGTAGAAGTTTCAGCTGGTGGCAATCTGCAACAATTGTCACCACTAGATGCCACCAAATCCCTGTAAATCTTATACACCCTTCCACTCACTGTTGTTTTTTGTAAAATAAAAAAATCAATGAAATAAAATACAATATAAATAGTGGGGGCGGCACGGTGGTGTGGTGGTTAGAACTGTCGCCTCACAGCAAGGGGGATCCTGGTTCGAACCCAGGGTGGAGGTGCCCTTCTGTGCAGAGTTTGCATGTTCTCCCCGTGTCAGCGTGGGTTTCCTCCAGCTTCCTCCCACAGTCCAAAGACATGCAGGTTAATTGGTGACTCTAAATTGTCCGTAGGTGTGAATGTGAGTGTGAATGGTTGTCTGTCTCTATGTGTCAGCCCTGTGATAGTCTGGTGACCTGTCCAGGGTGTACCCCGCCTCTCGCACAATGTCAGCTGGAATAGGCTCCAGCGCCCCCATGACCCCCTAACAGGATAAGCGGTTATGAAAATGGATGGATGGATAAGTAGTGGGTTGTTAACAAGGTTATGAAGAAACCAAGGCAAAATCCCCTCTGTTTTGTTGCACTTAGACTGCTTTGTACCCATGCATGAATTTACTGTTTTTGGTGTGGCAACAAACAGTTTTGAGGGTTAAGAAAATAATTGTAAGGTGTAAGGATATATCACTAGATTTTATCATTTTACAGTGTATTGCTTACAGCAATCAACCACAAAGTGAGAGTACAATACAAACATAGAGTACCTTAACTCCTGAATAAGTTTAGGGTCAAAGGTGAAGTTGGAGCTCAAGATTTTTATGCAGATACATTGTTTCATTTTTTTTTTAAATACCACATGTCCAATAATTACCTATAATTAATTTATAGCTGCGCACCAACACAACTTAAAGGTTATTTCTCTTTAAGGTCTGCACTGTTGGAAGTTCAGGTGTCTTGCTTTTGTAGGGCAGGCTATTTGATTGTTATCATATTTCCCTCTGCGCTTTATCAAGCTGGCTCAAGCTGGTGCAAACCTGAACTGTGCTGCTCCACTGACAGCAAAATATTTGCAGTGTGAATGCAGTGAAGGTCAGGAATGTCTTACAATGTGTGGTTGCCTCCTGCAGACCAGATCATATCATTCCCCTGCAGGTCCAGTTTCAGCCAATAGAGGTCAGGAGTGTTCTACTTTTATCACAAGACTCCATCACACTGTTATGTGGAGGTAACTTGGGAAGTCCTTCTAACTGAACCCCTGCAGCCATGTATGTCCTTTAATATGTGATTAGTGCTGGTGACCCTTAATTTAAAAAGTCATTAAAGCTAATTAACATTAAACACCACAGCCTGCCTGCTTTCATATAATTACCCCCGTTCACAACACTCATACCCTATTAGAGACTCACTAGGCCCTTAGCTTTACTATTTGCACCCTTAGGTCTAATGCACTGACCGAGGCTTTTGCTGTTCATATACAAGTATAATTAGTAGCACAGCCACAGGTATAGGATTGGTAGAGTAGCATGAGGTAGTCTCATAAGCATCTGACCAGGATCGTAAAGTCCATGCCATTATTAATCATTATTATTATCATTACCAGTGTCACACTCCAGCATTCCAAGCACAGACTGCAGAAAATCACAGTTAGAAATGCAGCGACGCATGTGAGTCATGTTCATTTGAATATCGTTCCGCAGCATGTGTGAGCATAGCGGTTCACATAAGGAAACTTGCAGGCAGACAAACAGGTCATGGTAGTCGCCGCATAAATTACTGATGCATCAGTTTCAAAAGCTAAAAAGTTATGTAATGTGGAAAAGGGAGGAAAGACTGGCAGGATTCAGTCTGTGGCCTGCAGTGGAACACGTGGTTCCAAATCATCAGAAAAGCAGAAGAAGACAGAAAGCGTGAAACAGGATCATGTGTAATACCTGCCACTCCTGCCAGCTTATTAGCTAAATCTTTTGATACGTGCAAATGGTATCATGCTCGCTGGGGGCTGCTGTTAATTCTACCTGAAGTAGGTGAGCAAGAATCAAAAGTGCTTTAACTGTTGTAACATTTACCAGCACAGTCACCAGAAGAAAATGTTCTGCACACCATGGACATGTTACTTATGTCTGTCACATACATATCATATCAACACAGTTCTGATGTCATGGTTATTAGCTATATTTGTCATTGAGATGGAGGTAATGGTGGATAATGTGACATCAAGGCGAGATGGCTGCCAAACTGCAGACCACTGTTTAAGACCAACAAACAACAAAATTTGGTGTTTTTTGTGAGATATTGGTGGCATTTTCAAAAGGGATTGTACCATTAAACAAGTTTTTTCTTGATAATTGTGATAGCCGTGATATTACCATCAAGAGCAAATGTTTTTTAGCGAGACATTGGTGGCATTTCCAGCCACGATTGTGCCACCAAAAGCAGGTATTATTTAGCAAGACATGGGCAGCATATACAGTGGTGATTTTACTACAAACAGCAGGACATCGGCAGCATTTCCAGCCTTGATAGTGCCACTAAAAGCAATGTGTTTTCTAAGGAGTTATCAGCCACATTTCCAGCGGTGATTGTACCCCCAAAAGTAGATACTGGTGGCATTTACAGCTGTGATTGCGCCCCCAAAAGTGGGTATTTTTTAGGATATCTGCGGCATTTTCAT